GACAGACAGACAGACAGACAGACAGACAGACAGACAGACAGACAGACAGAACGACAGATAACGCGCTTTATAGTAAGTAGGATATATATATATATATATATATATATATATATATATATATATATATATATCCCATTAGAACATTTATAAACGCACAAATATTGGATAGACTATAATTTGGATTCGTTAAAGTGATGGCCCGATGACCACTTTTCATGTGCGATTCGGTAATCACTTCTTCTTATTGTCGTCCACGACCATAAACATCTTTTGACAGAAGACAGTGGCATACTCTGCAATATCATAGCAAAAGGGGATTACGCATAATCAGAAAAAAGCAGTGATTGGAAGGATATTGGCATCATACTGATAGCAATGCTGACGTAATATGGCTTGTTTTTCCATGCAACAAAAATGAAATAAACTGGCACTCCGGTGAACATGATTAGCAATCCAATCGCTAGAAAAATATAGTCACGTAAAAATGTTGATCATAATGATTTACGGCTTACCACTATCTTTTGGAGCACCAATTATCGGAACTATGACAAGTGCACAGCATCCTACAAAAAATGTCAAAGGAAAAATCAGGTTGACCTGGAAAAGATTGTAAGCAACAGCAGTAACGGTTGAGTAGCATTTGAACTGCAAATGAACAATAGAAGAACTTCTCTGTGATACAGACGTTTGGTTTTCACCTTGATGGGTCTTGGTGCATAGGGCATAGTTCTTCTGAGCCAGAGTAAAGCAGCAACTGCAGCCCCAATAGCAAGCCAGTAGCTAATTTGGATGTAGTTTATTAGTGAAAATACATCATCAGAAAGAAACAAGTACGAGAGTGACAGAAAACCCTTGAAATTTAGAGATGAAATGTAAAAGGTGTACGTACATGGTACAAATGTTGAAGCCTTGAACTCACAGTAAAAAAGACTGCAGGAATCGGAGTTCTAGTATTTTTGTTGATCATCGTCAAAAGTTGTGGCATGTGTCCTTCCCTTGCACCAACGAAAAAAAGCCTGAAAATCGAGACTATAACTACCACAGCAAAAGTGAGTACATGCCGGACTTTTGGCGACGTCCACACATGCACCCTACATAATCCGGAGTCACTCACCGAGAACTCGTGAATATTACACCATTTGCAGAACCTATCGTAGAACAAGCAACAAAAACTGGCATAATGAAAGCAAAGCTACCGTACATTTTCTCGGCAAATAACTGTAAAAAGAATTTACAATACGTTAAATTATATGGATAGAATTACATTTAGTGTTCCCAGTGACACCTTCACGCAAGGAATGGCACAAGTCAAGTTCAAATATGTCGAGCGGAATTTCAACATACCACAGCAACAGCGGGACTAGCAAGCATTTCATCAGGAGATATGACAGTATAAAGAGCAATGTTCGTCAAAGTGTAAATTACAGTGACAGCGGTACACGAAATGGCGATGGAAAGAGGGAGATCTCTGAAAACATGACTGTCATCGAATTCACAAGCCCTAGCATGGAATGCGACACCGTTTTGGATTCTGCAACTCCTCGACGATGAAGTTGAGATAGTTCCACCCCTGGTACGCGAATAAGCCAGAGTAAAAAGCAATCGAGGCAGTTTCGAAATCATGTGCGGTGTTCTCGAAAAGATTTTCGAACGACTCGTAATATCGTGCTTTACCTGAACTGACACAAAACTGGCAGTATCAATGGAACCATATAACCGTGACAGTAATAATGAAGGAGGGTTTCGTATCAGACTACCTGTGCATAGCAGGATCACTCCTGTGGTGATAATCATTATGAGAGCAAACACTTTGGCAACTGTGAAAAAATCTTGCACAAATGTTGCCAGATGTACAGAAATTGAATTAATCGCAGTCAGTAAAACTGAAATATTTCGTTTCCGTTCCCTTCGACCGTGTTCAACTGTAATAAAGAGCAGCACTCACTTACAAGTGCGGCTGCCAGTAGCTGGGTACTGCCAGATGGTGGATCACAATCAGGATAAAATGGCCGAAGCATATAGATCGCGAATGTGAGGGCAACAATCGTCGCTGTACATGGTCTATAAACGTATTTCCTTCTAAAAGCACAACGTACCATGAGATATCGTTTTGGATAGCCCTGTTAGCGATTACTGTCCTTTGTGTCGCTGTAAAGCTAATTGAAAGTTCAAAAGGCAGGTAGAACTATTCAAAACTCTGTCAAATTATTGGATGATCCGAAGTTCTCTTCCTAAGAACCAGAAGGTGTGTGTGTATGTGTGTATGTGTGTGTGTATGTGTGTATGTGTGTGTATGTGTATGTATGTGCGTATGTGTACGTGTGTGTATGTGTGTATCTGTGTGTATATGTATGTATGTGTGAATGTGTGTATGTGTATGTCTGTGCGTATGTGTATGTGTGTACGTGTGTATATGTGTGTATATATGTGTGTTTCTGTATGTGTATATGTATGTATGTGTGTATGTGTGTGTATGTGTGTACGTGCGTTTGTGTTTCTGTAGGTGTGCGTGTATGTCTGTGTATGTGTGTATGTGTGTAGTGTGTATGTGTGTATGTGTGTAT